GGTCCCGCGGACTAGGGGCGCGTGGTGGTCCCCTGCGGCCCAGCCTTGCCGCCGCCCCGGGGAGAGCCGGGAGGTGTCTTCTTGCCGCAGGGAAATGAGACCCGAAATTAGAACCGGGGAAGCCCGTAGCTCTCCCCGTGCTCCAGCCAGCTCAGGTGTCTTAGATCGGATGAACGATAACGTTAAAAAGATAGATTATCTTACAGCTCGGCTCGTTTTAGGATGGCAAGTTACATTTTAACTTACAGGGTATTTAACGGGCGATTAAAATTGGGTTATTGGAGGCAGCTAACTCTAGGCTGTTACTCCTGATCGCGTTGCCATTGCCGACACGGGTCCACGCTTCGTTCCTTAACATGTCCTGTTCTGTTCTAGGCCCGTGACGAGCACTCATCGTTGGGTGGGGCTCTAGTGCAGTCCGTTCGTGCCAATATTTTATAAGCGACGTTTTCAAACTATGTGAAGATCTGTTCTTTGTTTGTTTGTTTGTTTTTTTGACGGAGTCTAGCCCTGTCGCCCGAGCTGGAGTGCAGTGGCGCTGTCTCGGCTCACTGCAACCTCCGCCTCCCGGGTTCTCGCGATTCTCCTGCCTCAGCCTCCTGAGTAGCTGGGATTACAGGCGCCCATCGCTACACCCGGCTAATTTTTTGTATCTTTAGTAAAGACGGGGTTTCACTATGTTGGCCAGACTCGTCTCGAACTCCTGACCTCAGGTGATCTGCCTGCCTTAGCCTCCCAAAGTGCTGGGATTACAGGCGTGAGCCGCCACTCCCAGCTGAAGATCCATTTTAAGAAGATTTATTCCTCTATGATGGAGAAGTATGAAAAAATTGGGAAAATTGGAGAAGGATCCTATGGAGTTGTTTTCAAATGTAGAAACAGGGACACGGGCCAGATTGTGGCCATCAAGAAGTTTCTGGAATCAGAAGACGACCCTGTCATAAAGAAAATCGCCCTTCGGGAAATCCGAATGCTCAAGGTAATTGATTCACTTTTCCTTTTTTCTTTTTCCAGACAGGATCTCACTCTGTCACCCAGGCTGGAGTGCAGCAATGTGGTCATACCTCACTGCAGCCTGGAACTCCTGGGCTCAAGCCATCCTTCTGCCTCAGCCTCCTGAGTAGCTGGGATTACAGGTTCTAGCCACTGCTCCAGGCTCTACTTTTTCTTTAAAGTGAATTTTTAGGGATGAAAGAAATAAAGTGAGTCATGTTATGTTAAAAGAATGTCATGGGACATGGTTACATCTTACTTCATAGCCTTTTGACTTCAGTGACACAAATGGGATATCTGTGCACAAGTCACTAATTATATAATGAACTAGAAAGCAGAAACAAAAGTGCTAGGTAAGGTGGCATTCACTTTTAGAGATGCTATGGTATATTTTATTTTTCTTCCCAATAGTTTCTCTCCCACCTGTAGACCTGGGTTTTCAAGGACCATCACAATTTGATAGTATAGGAATGTAAGACAATTCAATTTTGCCTAGCATTGTTGATTTTTAAACTTCTAAGGTATTTTCTATTGGTATACTCAGTCTTTTAAGAGAATTAATCATTTACCTGTTTTCAAACTGCCAGGAAGCTCACAGGTCTCATTACACCTCATATATATTTACTGCTGAGCATCATCATGTCTCATTTCTAAAAAGAAGTGTTCTTCTTAAAGAAGTGAAATGATCACTTTCTATTTTTTTTTAATGTTTTGTAGAAATGGGATCTTGCTGTGTTGGCCAGGCTGATCTGGACCTCCTGGCCTCAAGCGATCCTCCCACCTTGGCCTCCTAAAGTGCTGGGATTACAGGCATGATCCATCGAGCCTGGTCTGATCACTTTTCAAATGTTTATTAGTTAACCCTAAAAATACCATGATATCAGAGGGGGGAAAGGTATTTATTACAAGCTAAAAGTGTGTTTGCCTCTAATGGAGAGACTTCTTTACAGAACTTCTGTGAAGGTGAAATCCAAATCCCAATGTGAAAGGTGACATATAATGAATACCGTGGAGGTCAACTTTGTTTCAGTTATGGCCTCTGTGTTCTGACCTGTATAACTAACTACATGACAAGGGAAGAGCAACATGGTGAGAGACAGATGAATGAAACTTCCAGGGGATTCACTATTATTCTTGCTTCTGCAGTTTCTCCAGATCACTCTACAAATCTTTTACCCATGGATAAGTGTGTGGGGTCACTTCTAGATAAGGAACCTAAATGGAAAGCAGCAAGCTTTGGACAAATTGAAATGGGTGGATAACAGGGCAACTTCTCTATTTAGGTTTGGAATGTTCTTAGCCAACAGGATATTATGTATTCAGAGGAGATGCTTCCAAAGTCCCCCAGGGGAGTGCTCCCATAGGCAGGGGTGAGACCTGCAGTGTTTGACCATCCCCCCGCCCGGGTCACTCTACCCTTACCCTCTCTGTACACAGGGAGAGGCTGTTAGGCATTTTCTCTTCCTCAGGCTTTCCTAGGGGAGGAGGTGATCATTACATTTCAAAGGGTTCATTGACCTGAAAGAAAATCTGTTTCTTGCAGAAAGATACTTTTTCTGATTCTGAAGATTACTTTTGTGAATGCTCCTTTCAAATCTCTCACCACACTTTATCAATACTACATTAACAGTGATAGCTCCCCAAATTAATTGAGTTCTTCCAGGATGGAGACCTTGCCTCTGTAGCTCTGTATCCCCAAAGCACACTAGTTGGCACATCTAGGCCTCCCAAAAATGTTATTGTTGGATTAAAAAAAAAAGTTAACAAAATAAGCTCTTAAAAAAGGTGGATGTTGCCAATAAATTGGGAAGTCAAATGTGTTCTCTGAACTGAATATTGATATCCTCCAAAGGATGGGGTTGTGTGCACGTGATCCTGATTTCAAAGCATGCAGCACCCCACTCTCCAGATTAAGTGCACAGACGTAGACACCCCCGATCTCTATGAAGTGGTGGGACTAGATTAGAGGTAGAGTCTGTTCTTTAAAGCTGTAACTTTTCAGAGTTGTGTGATATTCCTAACACATAATATGTACTAGACTGGGCATGGTGGTGCATGCCTGTGGTCCTAGCTACTTAGGAAGGAGGCCAAGGCAAGAGGATGGCTTAAGCCCAGCAGTTCAAGGCTGTGGTGAGCTATGATTAGGCCACTGTACTCTAGCCTGGGTGACAGAGTGAGACCCTCTCTGTTATAAAATAAAGATACTTAATAAATATTTGCTGAGTAGGTAAATTGAGGGTATGGTGAATGAACATTTTATTTTCTCCATTTATGGATTCAGTAAATACTCATAGAGTCCCAGTTGTGCCTACAATGATGTTTATGCAAAGTTGTACACCCTGTCTTTCAGCAGCTCGGCTCTTGGAAGGGAGGTAAGATGAGCTGCCCTTTGGCTCTCGCTCCTTATAGACTGGTTCCAGTGAGCAGGGAATGTGTACCCTTGTCTGGTAGGAACTCTTTAGGTGCTTGTTGAATGGTGAAAATAAAGTGACTGGGGGCATGTTTGAGCTGAACTTTGAAATGTTTAGGGAAACGTGGAATGAGAGATAAGGCATTCCAGGCAGACACTCTATCCTAGGAAAAGGTGCATAAGTGGAAAGCACAGTATATTGAGGGAACACAGGTAATAACCCCAGTGTCTTGGCCAAGATGCCCAGTGGGTGCTAACAGGCCAGGGAGAGAAGGAAGGGGGAAGCCAGGGTCTAGCAGGATCAGGTCATATTCTAGATTTCTTCTGAAAGAAGAGCACATAGGAATCTAATGATTGGATGAGAAATCAAGAATAATTTCAAGGTTGTTGACTGAGTGACTGGAAGAATGAAGAGATCGTTCACTGTGATAGAGATCCAGGTGCAAAGTTGGTGGAAAGGAAATAAAGAGCTCTGTTTTGGACAGGTTAAGTTTGAATTGTGAACCCAAAGAGACTTGTAAAGTAGGCAGTTGACTACACAAGTCTGGCATTCAGAAGAAGTCCAGGTTGGAGACAGATAAAGTTGGGGTACATAAGCTTATTGATGGTATTTAAAGCTGTGGGACCGGAGGTGGTCACCATGTGGGATGGAGGGACAGGTACTGAAGGTGGAAGCTTAGTGTACCCAGCCCTTGGGGGTCAGGAAGATGACAAGGAACCAGCAAGGGAGGCAAGAAGAGGCGATCTGCATGGTAGGAAACCCCATAGAACAATGTTCTTTCTTTATTATCATTATTATTTATTTTTTGGAGACAGTCTCGCTCTGCCACCAGTGGCACAATCTCAGTTCACTGCAAACTCCGCCTCCGAGGTTCAAGAGATTCTTCTGCCTCAGCCTCCCAAGTAGCTGGGATAAGAGGTGCCTGCCACTACACCTGGCCACTTTTTGTATTTTTAGTAGAGATGGGGTTTCACCATGTTGGTCAGGCTGGTCTCGAACTCCTGACCTCAAACGATCCGCCTGCCTTGGCCTCCCAAAGTGCTAGGATTATGGGTGTGAACCACTGCGCCTGGCCACAGTGTTCTTAAAAGCTTAGTGAAGAAGATAGCTCAAGAGTGAGGGGATGCTCTGTGGTGTCAGAGGTCTCCATTAGTAGATTTAGGATTAGCCATTGGCTTTGATCATGTGAGGGTCTTTGGTGACCTTGACAAGAGCTGTGTGAGTGGAGAGGAATGAAACCTTCATCAGCAGAGGTTTAAGAGAGACGACAGGAACGAAGTGGAGATAGTGATATGGGCAACTGTTTTCAAGAGTTTTATTATAAAAGGAAGACAAAAATGGGGCAGAGGTGTTTGTAAAGATGTGGACTGAAGAGAGGTTTTTTTGTGGTTGCTGTTTTTAACTGCAAGTGAGAAGTACATTTCTATGCTAAAGTTGTAAATAAATCCAGTAGAGAAAAAACTTGATGTTGGAGGAGGGAGAGAATTACTGGACCCATGACCTTGAGTTACTAACCTGAACCATACCAAACTTAAATATCATTGCATAAAAAAAGACAATTTAGGCCGGGCACGGTGGTTCACACTTGTAATCCTAGCACTTTGGGAGGCCAAGACGGGCAGATCACCTGAGGTCAGGAGCTTGAGGCCAACATGGTGAGACCCCATCTGTATTAAAAACACAAAAACACAAAAACTAGCCAGGCGTGGTGCCAGGCGCCTGTAATCCCAGCTACTCCTGTCTGAGACAGGAGAATCGCTTGAACCTGGGAGGCAGAGGCTCCAGTGAACCGAGATCGTGCCCTTGTGCTCCAGTCTGGGTGACCAAGTGAGACTGCTAGATTTTTTACATACACTTTCCTTAATCTTTCTGTAACAGGATCCACAGCTGGCTCCAAGCTATGGGGTGGAACTTCCTCCACCAGGGTATTCACCGTCTTCTGATTTGCGTATGATACATGGACCCTACATGAATTCAACTCCTTTCCATAACTCAGGTTTAAATATATTAAGGATTTATTGGATGAGAGGTAGGGTGGTCATAACAGAAGTCAGATTGCAGAGAGAGACAATGTAACTGAAAGAAAATCACCTTAAATCAAGAAGTCAGGAGCTGGGTGTGGTGGCTCACGCCAGTAATTCCAGTATTTTGGGAGGCCAATGTGCGGATCTCTTCAGCCCAGGAGTTCAAGACCAGAGGGGGCAATGTGGTGAAACCCCATCTCTACAAAAAATAGAAAAATTAGTTGGGTGTGGTGGCATGCACCTGTAGTCCCAGCTACTCAGGAAGCTGAGGTGGGAGGATCACCTGAGTTCTGGGAGTCAAGGCTGCAGTGAGCCGTGATTTGTGTGGCTACACTCCAGCCTGGGCAACAGATTAAGACACTGTATCCAAAAAAAAAAAAATCAAGAAGTCAGGCATGATGGGCTGGAGCATCACAGGCCCTGTGGTGGAAAGTGGGCAGTGGTTCTGCATAAAGCAGGCGGATGCACTTGAACTCCACGCAGCCCCTTAGGGGAATATCTGTGTGTCCGGGAAGGAGCAAGGAAAGGGCTATGTGTTTCAAAACAAATAC